CGTGCATTACCCTCATTTCACCAGCTCACGTCTTCTGTAAAGATTCTGGCTATACCTGACTAGGCCTGTCGCGATAATCAATAAATTGACTTATCGTACGATAAATAAAAATGGACTCGATAACTTTTTTGAGCTCGATACATTGCCGTTTACATAAAGATGTGACCAGCATTTAGCCAGTGTCTGCCGCGTTGTGTGTGCCGGCCACGCGCGCTGTGAGGCTCACACACAGCCAGGTCAGGAGTCAGACAGGAGACAACGTGTGACTTGCTCGAGGGGAATTTAAAGTGAAGTGGAATTGGTTACAAAAACCTAATTCCACATCTCCGGTGTGGGAGTATTTTGGATTCAAGCCAAATGAACGAGGCCAACCTACGGACTTCAATGAGCCGGGAAGTCGCATTTAATTAATTTGTTTTATTTATTATATATAATTTATATATTTGAATATTATTTCACATTTCATTTACAATGTTGAATGTTCAATAAAAAGTTCTGTTTGAAAGGATGTACTTGAATTATTATTATATATTATCATTATGTCAGTGGTCTAAAATGGTCTTACAACGGTGCCGACAATATTATCGCAATAATTTCCGGGAAAATGTATCGTCCAACAAAATGTATTATCGTGACAGGCCTATACCTGACACGCTAAGTTTGTTCTGACAGCCACTACACTCCAATGCTTATCAAAAACAACAAAGCTAGGGTGAATTCAAAACACCAGAGTAAACTGCGTCATATAACTGGATCCCTCATACGCACATGCAGTCGTGCCTTCAGTCACAACACTGGTGGGAAGAACAAAAAACTCATCAAAAAGCACTTAATAGCTACCTTTATTTTAGGTAAAGTAGTTATATTGAAGTCATTTTAAGTCAGAGGACTGTGTGGTCTTTCTAAATGATTGCCTTGTGTGAAATGTGATAGCTTCCATCAGGTCGGAGGCTAATGTTAGCTTGAATTTGAAGCCCAAACACCTGACTTGAAGGATCAAATATTCCCTTTTAAAAACATAGTTATAGCATCAATAACACTTCAAGAGTAACTTTAACATGGCAAACAAGTAGACAGAGATACTCTCGACCAGTCATTCAAGTATGAAACTGTTTTTTTTACCATTTACACTAGCTGTACAGTATTTAATTTTGATTACACAGTCTATCTTTGCTCATCTTAGTCAATTTGACATGCATATAGTTCACCTCTCCACATTGGGATCAATAAAGTACTTCTTATCTTATTAGTCTTGCAGCCTTCTCTTGCACTCTTTTAATAGTTTTGTATTGTTTTATGCGTTATATATATTTGTGTTGCATTGTTGTAGGAGCCTGGGACTTGAGATTTTCATTTAAAAAAACTACACTATAGCTACTGTGACAAAAAAGCCTTTGAATCTTGTAGGCATAATATTGCTAGCTAGGATAGCTAAATAGCTCACAGAGTTGACACAAAGTTCACAGGAGCATTTTGACAGTCAATCTGCAGGAATTACAAAATTACTAATAAAATACAAATAAATTAAAGATAAACATTGCAAAATTAAGTATAATATATACATATTCTCAGTTAAAAAAATACCTGTATTCAGAAGAGTATCTTAACACTTTAAAATATACAGAATACATAAGAAAACTCTCTAATATACTTAGTGTAAACTGTAAACTTAGTGTACTATATACATTAAAACGTGTGGTACAGTAGATCAATTGCAAGTAAACGCAGCTGCTAACAACCTTAAGCCAGCTAAACTGAACTGAAATATACTAAACATTTAAAAAACGTACATCATTCAATGACTTCCCCTTGTCATCAATCAGTGAATATTTATTCTGATTAATGTCAGTAATCAAGCTCAGTTTTATAGTGCTAATAACGTAGCGCTAGCAGCTAAGCTATTGCAAGGGTTTGTTATAATTAACGTAATGTTAGCAAACATAAACAAACGTCACCATGTGTGGGATTAACATAAAATTACATATCAATACTTAAGCATAAATGAGGTTTGATACGTGGCCTACTTTTAATACAAGACTGTCTTAAACATTAGCAACATTAGCCTAGCCATGTGAGCTAACAAAGCTACATTAGCAACATTAGTAATGTCGATTAAAAAGCAATGTTTTTACTCACCCTGAGTATTTTCTGTCATGTTGGAAGGCGCGTCCCGCTTTAGAGTCTCACTACAAAACCGGAGAAGTGCATTTAATGTTTAATATTTCACCATTTTGACGGTAGAAACATGAAACTATCTGCGGCGGAGATTTCACGAGCAGAGCAACAACATGGACGAACTGTGTTTGGTGCAGTGATGCATTGTGGGTAGGAGACGCTACAAAAGAGGGAGCTTCTTGACAGGTCATGTAAATACAGATGCAAACATTAGGACATGTTTTCTTTGTTTGTACTGTAATCCACACATTTTGAGATGCTTTCCAATATTGGTGAACTTATATTAAGCCACACGTTCCGGTTTTAACATATGATGATATCAAATTTGTCCTTCAATTTGAAAAACTAAACAAAAATTAAATTTTGAATCAATAATTTCATTATTTTAGCCAAATATTTCATACACAAATGTCACTTTCTTAACATTTCCCCAGTATTTGATGCGTTTCTTAATTATACAGAGGTCTAAACACCTATTCCTGAGTGACCACTCGTTTTTTTTTTCTTCTGTTTTGTGTTTATAATGCCCTCACTTTTGAATTTATCAAATGAACACTGATGTTAATGTGCCTTTTTTTCATATGTATTGGAATAATTGTTCAATAAAGTAAAAGAGTACAACTACAGGGTTGACTGGCAGGATTCATTGATGAAAAATATTGCAGGTTTTCTTTCTATAATGTGGTTTCTGGTATGCTTATAAGTCAGATTTTGTGTAGATGTGAGGGGTTGACACATGACTGTCAGTCCCATGATTCTTTAAGGAGGCATGTTTAATAGAACAACAACTATATGCATGCATCAGACACTCCATTTTCAAATTTGGAAATCCAATATGGTACTTAGTCTTTATTCAAGTCCCTCCTTTGATTTTCCTTCCCTGTAAGGTCAAAGCCTTTTTATCTTTTTATCTCTGACCAGGTTTTTCTTCCTCCTTTTCCTTTCTGAGAGTAAAAGTTGTTGTCTGCAGCGAGACTACAGTAGATTTTCCAACCCCCAAATTCCTCCTTTGGCTGACAAACGTCAACAAAGCCCCCGAGAGACACCAAAGAGAGGTGAGCAGTGAACTGAAGCCTCATTGTATCGGCTCATTATGGCGTCCCGCAGTGAGGAAGATGCTATTTTGTAGCAGCACAAGGTCAATATCTGAAAGCCAGGGCGATGGAGTGGATCAGCCATGAGATTTTTAATTTGAGAAAGCGTAAAGGGGTTTTCCCTGCAAGACGGTGTGTGAATTTCAACTGTGGGGATTGTAGGCAAAATGTTGAGTCGGCAAATGTTGTGTTCTCTTTAAAAAGTATGAAATGCAAGCTCCCTGATTTGTGTCACATGCAGTTTTTGCTATCTAGATTTCAGGCAAGGGACGAGTGCTGCTGCTTATAAATGCGTGATGTTTCAGCCTCACACACACACACAGTTTCCATGCTGTACGTACATGAAGAATCTTCTATATCCAGTGTTTCTCCTTCATTTTAATGCAAATCATATCAATACGTATCCCACACTTTCTTAAACAGCTGTTCCCAAAGCTGTCTGAGATATTTCTCCGCTTCCTGGATTCACTTTCCCAGGAATTTTGATTTTACGTCCAAAAAGATGTGAAAAGGGGAGCTGTCACTCTCTATTATGGTGACCTCAATGATTGTGTGCCCTATCCACATCCAGCGGTTTTCCATAACAATGCCAATTAAAGGGTGCAAAGCCGAAGGAGACAAGACTTGTTATTTTCAATCCGAAGGACAGAGATTCTTTACAACAAACTTGTCTGTACGCCTCTAAAATTTGATTCAAATGCCAACTTGGAAGTTGTTTTGTGTGTGAGACAAAGCGTTTTTTGCTCATGAGGGTCAGCTACTATCTTGAGAACGTGATACTGGAGTTGTGGAGTTTATTTTGCAAATGAAAGATTATACAAAATAATAATCATAATGCATTGTGTTTTTATGTACATTGTTGAAGCAGACTCATAGTTAGGGGAGGTCAAATGAATGTGTAACCATGTGGATATATCATGGACACTATTGACTTAATATAATTTCTTTTGGCAGACTTAGTACTGTAGGTTTCTGTTTTATCAACAAGGAACAATTCGGGTATCAATGCATGGTTTTAATTGGAAACTGGTCAGGGATCAGAGCTTCAATTGAAAGGAATATATTCTATTTTGATATCCAAAGACAATCCAATATGCATATGTATGCTGAATACAATAAGCAAGCAAGAGTAATACATCCTGGTACTCATAAAGCACAATTTAATGCGAGGACCATTGCTATAATTTCAACTGTACGAAGTCTTGTGCAACAAAGCATTATGCAGTAAGAATTAAAACAATGCATATCACTGACAATTGTAACTGCTGCTTTAAAACAAAATGGCACAGTGGGAAAAGGGAAAATCGACGTGGTTATTTATCCTCATATGTTACGTAAATCTGTAGAAATTAGATTCAAAAACATATGAAATTAGGGTTATTTAAGTTAATTGCATCTAGGTATTATTGTGTACAATTACCCGTATAATTTATGTACATGTCTGAGGTATTACTAGTCTTTGTTATACACAATACACTCATCTGCAATGGGTGAATAGTCTGCAGTCAGTGACCCACATTTCAGATCTGCTTAACTCAGACTGTTGTTTTATTCAGTGCACTGTCAACACTACTGTGAGTAGGCGGAGGGGGCGGGGTTTCATGCTTATCTGCCTCTCTGATTGGCTGCTAGATTCGATTTCTCTTTTCCTCGATTCCTATTGGCTGCTTGCTGCTGTCAGTCTATATCTGTTATCACCGCTTCCCGCGCCATTCCACGTGCACGCGCGGGACCAGCAGGCACGTCCCCGCTTGGAGACTGTCTGGGGTCTGTCTGAAATTGATAAAAATTGGAGATGGAGTTTTAATTTGCATCTGTTTTCACAATTGTTCGAGGAAGACGCTCGTTGGAAATGGATTTTTATTTCTCGCGCTACTCCTAGAGAACGCCTTCGCCAAAAAGAGTCGCCTTGCTGAGATATACATGTATTTTCTGTAAACGCTGTGAAAGTTTTTTCTCCTGCAGTGTGTCAGCAGCAGACAGCTCTTTATTCCCAGGTAGGTGAGACAAGTTAGTGCACTGAGCTAACGCTGCTGCAGCATTCGCCTTTAAATGTTGTTTTGTGCACGCTTTGCTTAGAAAATAAACAACCCTGTTCTGCATTATCATACTGAGTTTTACATTAATCATTTTTAGCTGTTTAAAGAACGCGTTTAATGCATATTTCTCCCACATTGCACCCTGTAAGCTAGCTGTTTTGTTTGGAGGTGGTGCAGGTGACGCACCTGTGCTGATGATGACGCTGTTCATTAACCCCACCTGTTCATTACCTGAGCGAGAAACTGCCTATTTTGCAACATTATCCCCCTTTATTCCTCTCATTTATGATTAAAATGCCCCACACCACCGCTTTATATTTCATATGTCACAGGTGGCAACATCCCAACTAATCTAAATGAGTGTGTGTGTGTGGCTTTAGAGGTGATGTGAAATGAACCCTGTTTGACATGTTTCCTTCTTCCTTTGCTCTTGTTTAGGCTCTGCAGGGGATCATCCGTCAGCCTTGAGTTCAGGAGGAGTGCACCATCCAGACTGCAGCCTGCACAAGGTTGGTTGAGACTGGGGTCAGATCCACTGCATGCATGAAATGGAGTTTATCACACAGCATTTATTCATTTATCTTGATTACACTCCTAAACAAATTAATTCATGTTTTTCGATGTTTTCTTTAAACTTTCCACAAGTAGCTTCATAGTCCAATAAAACTGTCTGGTAGCATATTTAGTACATACATATTTAGCTTATTTATTAGCACATACAGCATACACACTAATATTTGAATGCTGGGGTCAGATGCATGCATTTAATAGAGTTTATCAGACGGCATTTATTCATTTATCCTGATTACACACCTAAAAAACCAACATTTTATTCATGTTTTTCTTGCGTTTGGCATCTTAATGCTTTCGGTGTTTACTTTAAACTTTCCACAAGTAGCTTCATAGCCCAATAGAACCTCCTGGTAGCATCAATATATTAATATTTATTTATTTATATTTATTTCACACTATATTCAAATGCATAGCTTTGACGTCACTTTAAATATGTTTAATCTTGCTGAGTCATCACTTTAAATGGATAAATCTGCATGTTTGTATTGTTTTTCACGCTATCTGTAGTTGAGTTTGGCATATTTGATATATTGCGATGTTTATTTCGAACAAGGCTCGTCCAGACTGCGGAAAGGGTCTATCGTCATACTGTTTTCTACCCAAAATGTGGCACTTTTGCATCAATTTAGTCATGCATTCAACCCAAAACAATGTGTTAAATGCAGGTAATGTGTACCTGGTCTGCTGCTGCTCCCTCAGACTTGTCTAGACGCTTTTGCTCTGTCACTGCAGATTTGAGCATTGAGTAGTCATATGACTCAAAGCCTTTCTCCCTCCTCCCCAGTGTCTGCTCTTTTGGGGCAAGATGGCTGCTATAGCATTGTTGTTATCCATGAGTTGATGTTAGCAGAAAAACATGGGGTTACATTACACTTCAGGGACACCCCAGGAGATCTGCACTGAAGAGACGGTTAATGGACATCCTTTTAAAAGGTTTTCCCAACTTAAATATTGTGCGTTTAGACGATTTGATGATTATTTATCGCTATGTTTCACCAAAGCAATCCAAATACTGGGCATTTTTCATGTAATTCTTGACTTGATGGGTGTTTCATTCCCTACTTCTTGCTCCATGCTACGTATCGTTTTGTTTTGGGACGCGTGGTAGCCATTTTGTCTGATTCATGACTGGCAATTGGTGCCAAAGGCTTCCTAAAATGTGTTCAAATTTCTAAAAATATCAGCAGTGGCTTCTGATCTTGAATTTCTCCTTGAAATTCTTTCTCTCTGCTTTCTCTGTATTTGTATATATAGAATACAGTATCTTGCAAATAGGCTCACCTCTAGTCTGTTTCTGGATACCTATCAACAACACCGTACAGACAGTTTGCAAGAAATAAAAAACAATTGCTTATAATTAAAGCATTTTTTAAACATGTAGCGCCACCGAAACACAAGTAACATTTTACGCAATGTGAAATAATTTACAAACGTTGACGATAACGCATTAGCAGCTGTAAAAAACATTTTGTAATTGTGTATGAATTAGCCTTTTCGGTACATTTTGGACTAATTACCTGCAGCCGCCTAATCTAGATTGCATTTGTCGAAAAGGTGCATGTGACGGGTTATATTTGAGGTGTTACCATCACCTTGTTTTGAACTTATCTGCTTTAATAATAACCTATAATTCTTTTCGTAAAAGTGGAAAGCTAGAGGATGGAAGAAAACCGTCTTGCTTACGTTTTTTTGGACCTAACTTTTAGTGGACTAATTAAAGCACATAGATTTTTAAGGCCTTGTTATTATCACATGTTTAACGTACTTAAATACCAACTCGTAAAAAGTTGAACACTGGTTGATCGAAGACAAGCTTTTTGCACTCCTGTAAAGTTACGTTTCATAATCAACCTGCTTTTCAGTGGATTTATTAAAACGACATGCATGTGTTCTCCAGTCTGCACCATGCAATATTAGTTTTTGCACTTATTCTCACGGCCCACAGTGATTTTGGATATTATCTGAGGCATGTAAGAGTGCTCCTCGCCTCTCTCTGACATTACGAGTTACTTCCCCTCAGCGAGTCTCTGATGTTTATCAGTTTGCTGTATCAGTGGCCAGCCTGGACAGATCTCTTCATTAACACCTACTTACTGCATATCTGCTGTCAGCTCGTCCTGTCATAACCCTTAAAGCTTCTCTGACTGCTTCTTGTGATTATGGTATTCTCTTTTTAACCTGAGAGGACAGACACACTCAAAGCATGCTCTGTTTCTGCAGGGCCTGATCCAGTGTCTCACACAAATGACTGGTATTGCAATTAGCTAAGGTAAGGGAATAGAAAAACACGGGAATATGCATTTTTGTTGGCAAAACGTCTGACATTGCAGTTTTTAATTATAATGATTACGAATGCATAAAACAAATCTGTTTCCGCAGTATTTATTTAATAATTGCAATCATTAGCTTTTATATGCATCTGACTAAATGAGGTTTTGTGCATTGTCCTACATTAAGTGATGCATTTCTTAATATTACCTTAAAACAATTCCTATTACGGCTTGAATTAAACATTTAAATATCTTTGTATTAATGTGAATAGAACTACTACATACAGCTCAGGCTTTTATTACGATGATGTTCAAAAGCATTATTGGTATAAAAATAATATTTTAAACCTCTACAACATGATATCTTGTTAACTGTTCGACTGTAAATTTAGCGAAATCCACGAAAAACAAATATAAAAGGTTTTTAATTGAATGCATTTCCTTTCGTATTCTCTCAGCTTATTATTAACCCCCGCGGTGTGTATCTTGACTCTTAAACCACAGTGTTTTCTCTCTATTCTCACAGAGACCCAGGGTTGTCCTGCAGCCTGTCATGCCTCCATGCCCTCTCCGTTGCAGTGTGACCGCCCCATGGTAAGATCCCTCTTGACCTTTCATTAAAGCACATTTGGGCTGAAGTTAAAAGTGCAGAGGAGCTATTCCAGGAATGCTTTAAGGTGCTGCAGAGTGCCTGAGGGAAATCTGCACACTGCACTATTTACTGAGGAGTTTTCTCTGGCTCGTGACGTGATGAGGACTGATCAAATTCAGCGCCGTCATTCACTCGTCAGCGGCAATCTTTTTCCCTGATTGGTGATCTCTTCATAAGATAATCATGGATATGGATCTGGTAACTTTCACTTGAGGCTTAGCCCGAGAAAATGCTGATGCAAGACGAGCTTCGAGCCGAACGTCCCGCGTTTCTATTGGCTCGCTGTCTCCACCCACAGTCACGAGGTACAACTTCATCATGATGTCTGGAGGAAACAGCTTCTAATGCTGCCTCTGAGCTGGAATGAAAAGATTTCTGGGGTTATTTCTGTGCACAAATGTTGTTTCTGAGCTCTGTCGTGCAGCCATTGTGTTCCTATAAAGCTGTGGGTTGTTGATAATCCCAGAATCCTTTGCTTCGTAGTGACGCAGTTTCCTTTGACATTGGCGTGGCATATTTTAAATCAAGGCCTTCGCTGTATTTTAAGGAGTCTCCTGGCAGACTGCCAACACATGGATCCATTTGCCTGTTCCCTCCTCCTTCAGAGCACCACTGCACAGCTGTGATTCTGCACTGGCCATCGATAACTCACAGCCAGCGGCGTCCATCTTAGATTTGGGCGAAAGAGATGAAGTGAAATGAAGCTTTGCAGAAAACAGAAAATCTGAACTCGCTGGAAAATGTTCAGTGTTTAAAAAAACGCCACGACTTTTACAGAGAAACAGATTTCAAAATGTGGAAATACGTTTGAGTTAATGAAATGATTTATAGGGTTAGTTTTTGAGTTCTGCGCGATAGATTCTCATTTTATTTTAGCGTTAGAAAGTCCTATTTTTCGTTCTTTTAATCCGACTCACAAATACATTTCATCGAATATTCTTTTGCTAGAAATTCACGTCGATAAAGCCTTGAGTACATTCTTAAAGCCGCAATTAAATTCAAAGCAGATAATAAAATATACAGCAGTTGGAAAATAAAAAAAGAATTTATCTGAAAATGTTTGTACGATTTTTTTTTTGCAAAAGCGATCGACGCTGCATCTGAAACACAAACTTTGCAATTTGAGATTTTTGAAAAGCAACGTAAATATGTTTTGTTTGTATAGTCCCGTGTTTAAAATGTCTGATTATTACAGGTGTTGTTTGACCCCGTTAAATTGTGTTTTACAATATGAAATCAAAAGATGACGGCAAATTAATTGATTTAAATTAAATAAATGCGTTTTTTTTAAGCGAGGCGAGCTTCGTCCAAATGAATCTGTTAATTCAGAAAATACATTTAAAATAATAGGATGCTGTTTTATATCTGATTTGTACGACCGTATTATGCATTTTTATTTAATTCACGACACTATTTTATTCTCCTACTCTTTATATATATTACACGCACTGTAAATATTTTATTTTATTTTATAACGGCATAAAAAGTGTAATTTTGTGCAATTTTTTTTATTCTTCGTCGTAAAAATCGTCTATTTTTAAAGTTGCAAATACACTTTAAATGTATAATATTCCCCTTGCATGATGCATTTAGAGTACTGTATATTGTGCTGTGGAGGGGCCTCCTGACTCCCTGAGAGGTTTAGCTGACCTTTACCCTCTTAAATACTTGTTTTGGTTCCCTGTTAAGAGCGGTGTGAAAGCCACACTGTGTTTAATGCCACGTAGCACAACAGTGGCTGTCAGGGACATTAAGCCTCTGCACACAGCGAGAGCAAACGTGCCCTAATGCACGTGTTGCCCAACCTGTAGGTGAATGCATTAATAGTTGGATTTTATTGATTGTTTTGCACGTTTTAAATCTGTTGCAGAATGGACATGCACGTTGAAAATGGCAGAATGTAGTGAAAATAAACGGAAATATCGTTAAGATATTTTTTTATGTAAGACAACAGAACAATGTGACTTTAGAAAAGAAGATATTTGGGATTATATTGATAGGAGAACCTGCCTTTCATGAAGCATACTAAAGAAGTAGCCTAACAATGAGCTCATAGGACAGTTTAAGAAAGCGGAAATCAAATCTGAGCTGCTGTGTTTTGCTTTAACACACAGTTAATCTCACACACACTATTCTATGAACATATAGGTTCACCTGCTGAGTTAAAAACAGAGCAACCATCAGAGACTTGTTTATGGGCTGGATTTAAATCAAACTCTCTTGACTGCAATCGGATTGACTTTGTAATGCAGTGTGCTCGTCTATAACCCTCTCATAAACGCTCAAACAAGTGCTCACTTCCTGGGTAAGAAACTTCTAGCCTGAGATGAACTCCGGCTTTTCTTTTTACTGAGTTCTCAGAGTGCTGGGTAAACGCTTGCATGTGAAGACACGTCGTCCAAAACGGTTGCATATAAGCTTTTAATATTCTACATTTAACGGGATAATCAGGATGCTAATGACGGTAGCTGTACTCCCTTACAGTCGCATGATATCAATCAGATTACTGTTAGAAATTGGGGATTGCTAGTGTTACTAAAAACCTAAAAACATCATAGTGTTTGTTGTAAAGGATGTTCTCTCTTCTCTGTCAGCTGTTCTGTTCTGTAGGATAATACTTTCAAAGTGAATCCATACTTCTACTTCCTGAGTCTGCTTCATGGTTTTCACTTTCTTTGCCTCATGTGTTCTGTTTTTAATTCAGCAGGTGAACCTATATGTTCATAAAGTAGTGTGTGTGAGCTTAACTGTGTGTTAAACTCAAACGGAGCATTTTCTGCTTTTTTAAACTAGTCTGTGTTCGTGTGTTTCAGTGTTGGTGTGTCGGCTGAATGAGCTTCATGAAAGGCACGTTGTCCGATCAATAAAATCCAATTTGATCCTAAATATCTTGGTTTCTTGTTCTGTACAAAAAACACCTTGTATTTATTTCCTCTTGTGTTTATCTGCATTGCATTTGATATTGGAGTAATCAGGGTACTTGTATTATGCACTGTTGGTGATGTAACCCTGCACTTCAGTTTCTCAGCAAAGGTTGTAAAGTACAAAGTGTCCTTGTAACCCTATATAGATCTCGACCTATACTTAAAGCATAAAGGGATATTAAGAGGTATAGAAACATTTTGAGATGTTAATCCGTTCACTTTCTACCATTTTAATCACGGAACAAGCCCATTTGTTATCCTACGTTTTAATAACATCTGTAGTGTGGTGCTTTGAAAACCATATAAACAAGACGTTACGATAATATTTCGGTTATTTTTTAACTCAAAAATGCTAAAATCCTCGTCTAATATCTGGAATTTACTCTAAAAATTTGACTATATAAAATTAAACATGTTTTTAATAAAGCTTTTACAGAGATTTAATGATGCAACCCCACTGTTCAGGAGGAACAATCCAAATGTGTGCTTTTGCTCGTCTGTAATTTAGTTTAAATATTATCTTTTGTGCGAAGGGGTTTGTGTGCAAATCAAACATTAACATATAAACCATCAGTTGACTTTCTACCCATTTTAATGAAGGAACGCTTCAATGTGTTGTCGTGGAGTTTCACAATAACAACGGTACTTTGAACACCATATAAAAAACGACATAATAATAGTTTGGGGGTTTCTGTACCTCAAAAATGCTAAAATCCTCGTCTAACATTTTGCATTTACTAAAAGAATATGACTTTGGAGAGAAAATATCAAATGAACATGTTTATACTTTGAAAACCATTTAAAAACCAACGTTAAGATAATATTTTGGGTTTTCTTTTTACCCAAAAAAAGGCAGAAATCCTGGTTTAAAATCTTGAATTTACTCAACATATACAATTCAACATGTTTTATTCAAACTTCTGCAGGTTTTAAACTAACATCGCAGAGATTTAATGATGCAACCCCTTAACTCCTGTTAAAGAGTAAAAATCCACATGTGTGCTCTCGTGTAATTTAGTTTAAATATGATCTTTGTGCAAAGGGGTTTGTGTGCAAACTAAATTTCTACATATGCAAAAAAGAACCACTTTTTTAATTGCCTGAGTTTAGCAGCTTGACTGAAACTTTTCAAGTTGTTTTGAGGGTGGGCTTGCATTTCTCCCTAATTGGGGCTTATTGGAACACACCTGGACACACCTTCCTCCTTTTGCCTTTTGACCTTTTTGTGAATTAAGACGGCAAGCTAGAGTTCGTCAACGAAGGGTGGAAGAAGGTTGGGTGGGGGGGGTTCACCGTGACTAATTAGTAAATCTCACTCCTCTGAGGTGAGGTCGGGGGGTTTATGAGTAAATACCCACCTGCTCCGAGTTGCAGTAACCTAATCAGTCTCGGTGGACGTTTGAAAGTGAATATTTCATATCTGCGCTGATCTCTACCAGCTCTCATATCTGACTCTCTCTCTCTCTCTCTCTCTCTCTCTCCCCGTAAGCCTCACACAAACGGCAGGGTCTCTTCCCTCCACACAATGAGCAGGAAAAGGTCAGGCCTAATGAAGTCGGGGGTGTGACCTCTAGCATTCAGTGACTTCTCCCTCCGTCCTGCCGCTGAAGCCATGCCGCTTAATCCCTTTTTGATCCTAATTGATAGGCATTAACATGATCCTTATCCAGGAGCGGTGTTTTGTCTTCCACAGCCCTGCTCTCCGGGTGTCGGTGACACAAAGTGTGAAAGCGTTAAACCAAATGTGAAATTGATATTTTTCATGTTAGTGTGCCGGTGTTTTCTGAAACGCTCACACAGCAGAGCGGCCGGTGTTTCAGCGTTTCGCCCTCTGAGCTCTTAGCAGGACTTAACACATGACCTCTGGAATCCCATTCTGGCCTTTTATCTCCGTCACAAGGTGATTACCGCCTCGCACTGTCGACTAATTACCCTCTTCAAGACGTTTGGCTCCCATATCACCTTTTATATACAAGTGCAGGAGCTCTGCGAGTTCCCAAGAGCTTCATCTGGAGTCA